CACGTATCAGGTGGGTCCCACGGCGAATGATTCTTAGAGGTCCGCAAAAAGGATAAATGCGATGCATTGCAGTGTATAACGGATGCGATCATACCAGCACTAATGCACCGGATCCCATCAGAACTCCGCAGTTAAGCGGGCTTGGGCGAGAGTAGTACTAGGATGGTGACCTCCCGGGAAGTCCTCGTGTTGCATCCCTCTTTTTTTTTTTTTTGCTTATGCCTTATCACCTTCGGAACGCCATAACTTTAAAACCGTGAGGCCAAACTCGACATGTGATACCTTTCGGAAAGCCCAAAAGATAGCCCTTCGAGAGGGGAGATGGTCAATGGGTCTTTGTACCATTGTTTATATTTTCGACACCAAATTTTGGACGTTTAGGGGCTTTTTCCGGGCCATTTTGTCATCCAGTACCATATTTCGGGACCGAAATCGATTTTTCAGACATTGTTTGCGCATATATTCCTTGTCTTGAAGCTCCTTAGGACTAGCTGATTTGGCCCACGTAGTAGGTGGGACCCACGGCGAATGATTCTTAGAGTCCACAAAAAGGATAAATGCGATTGCATTTTAGGTACTAACGTATGCGATCATACCAGCACTAATGCACCGGATCCCATCAGAACTCCGCAGTTAAGCGTGCTTGGGCGATAGTAGTACTAGGATGGGTGACCTCCCGGGAAGTCCTCGTGTTGTATCCCTTTTTTTTTTTTCTTTTTTTTTTTTGCTTATGACTTATCACCTTCGGAACGCCATAACTTTAAAACCGTGAAGTCCAAACTCGACATGTGATACCTTTTCGGAAAGCCCAAAGAGAGCACTTCGAGAGGGGCAATGGGCTATGGGTCTTCGTACCATTGTTTTTTTTTTCGACACCAAATTTTGACGTTTAGGGCTTTTCCGGGCCATTTTGTCATCCGTACCATATTTCGGGACCGAAATCAATTTTTCAGACATTGTTTGCGCATATATTCCTTGTCTTGAAGCTCCTTAGGACTAGCTGATGTGGCCCACGTAGTAGGTGGGACCCACGGCGAATGATTCTTAGAGTCCGCAAAAAGGATAAATGCGATTGCATTTTAGGTACTAACGGATGCGATCATACCAGCACTAATGCACCGGATCCCATCAAAACTCCGCAGTTAAGCGTCCTTGGGCGTGAGTAGTACTAGGATGGGTGACCTCCCGGGAAGTCCTCGTGTTGCATCCCTTTTTTTTTTTCTTTTTTTTTTTTTGCTTATGACTTATCACCTTCGGAACGCCATAACTTTTAAAACCGTGAGGCCAAACTCGACATGTACTGACGGATGCGATCATACCAGCATTGATTAGTGGGCTTTCAATTTAGTCAGCCCAAAACACAAAACAATTGTTTTGTTATTTGACACTGGACAAATATAAGTTGGGCCAAGCCCATACGCAAAATATTTTAATTATGAGGAAAACTCACTTTCTTCATTTAAACGCAAAGCTTTATGAAAACTTCATCTTCAGCCTGTGAAACCCTAGTTTAACATAGAAACCTACAACCACCATAGCCAAACAGATCTCAAAACCTTAAAACGAAATATAACCGAAAACCCGATTGGTTCGACGGTGCCGAACTGAACCAAACTGATAACCGTTCTCTATTTTCAAAGTTGTCGATCGGTTCATCACAACTAACCGAACCCGAACCGAAAACCGTAATACTCGGTTCGACTCGGTTCGGTTTCCTCGGTTTGGGTAAAAGTCGCAGGCCTAGTTTTGACCAGATTTACATTGTTCGTATAGAAAATTCAAATTTTAGTTAAGTTTATGTAGTTGTAGGCACGACTCAAAGTGGAGAAATAGCTTTCGAACTATGGATTCGGGAGGTTATAGGTTGAAAACTATTTTTCGGGGATATCTAGCACGTGATCATAGATTGGGCTGTATCTGTCGTGATGTGATACTTTTCGTAGGGAAATAGACCATTTTCCACTATAAAGCAACTAAGTTCGTGGAGGAATAGACTCTTTTCTCATTTTCTCTCAGTCATCTCTTTTGATAGATAGGACACTAGGTTTTATCACGTGATATGTACAAGAGTGGTTTTTCTTTTTGAATTACTCAATATTAATTAATTATATAATAATTTATAATAGTATTTTCATTTTTTATATTTCTATTTCTCAAAAATGAAAGAGGCTAGAAAATATATTTTAAAAATTTTCATTATAAAATATATTTTAATTAAATAAAGAGATTTTTTGGTGCAACAATTAAATAAAGAGACATATTAAAGATATTGTAATTAATTCTAAAGCCTTGTTTGGCTATATAGATAGTATGAACACATTTGATCAAAAAAAAAAAAGATAGTATACTATGAACACATAGATTATGTTTAGTTACAAGGATAATTCTTAATTTATTAAGACAGCTAATTAGTAGATTCTTAAAATTAGAATACCTTATGTAGCCATTCTCCTAATTTCTTCTTTCTTTTACACATACCAAATTGTTATTTTCTACACCAAAGAAAGAAACAAATTAATATTTTCTTTTAGTCAACAAAAAATCAATCCTTTTCTTAATTAATCTTTTTAATCCTTTTATTAATTAATCTAACCGGTGTCTCTTTTTTTATCGGTCCCAAGATATAAAACACTCTTTCGTACTAATGAATTAACTAAGCAGTCAAAAAAAAAAAAAACAAGGGAACGAGTTGTGAAATTTGAGAGAAAAAAAAACTCAGAGCAGTGACAAACATCGATTCAAGAATTGTGAAGCGCCGCCGATTTTCGTAGAAGATAATCTAATTCCAAAATTCTCTTTTGGATCGCTTTGCTACTTCTGATTCCATTTTTCTTCGGCAAAAAATCTGGAATCTGTATCGTCACTACCAAAAATTCTCTTCCTTTACCGTTTCGTTTCGCTTCTCCGGTATCGTCTATATGTAAGATTCAATCTCCTTGCTTCTGTATTTGTTATTTGTGAATACTCCGATCTTTGGTTACTACCCACTTGGAGTTTTAACATTCGACACTTTATTGAAGAATAGTTTGGGAAATCTGGTGAATTTGATTTTTTTTTTTGAGTGATATATGTTGAATTGTTTTAGAATTACGACCAATGTCCCTAGCTGATATACATTTAGGTTAGTTAGTTTTTGAAGACATAACTGCTGGCTTCTTGTCCAAATTGCTTGATATTTAGAAGAGTTTTACATTTCTGGTAATTTAATTATTAGGGTTTTCTTTTTATTTCAATGGATTTTGCAATGCAGCAGTTTTGTGAGTCAAGAATAAATGTCTTGATCATAAGTAGTGTTATTCTATCACGTTTAGGAATCTTGAGTTAGATCATTTTGTATTTTTGGATCAGATTTATACATTGATTGGTTACTTGTGGCTTTATTTTGGATTGCTTCTGCCTTCAATTCTCTCATTATTATAACCTTATCCTTACGGTTTATAGATTTTCTTTAGTCTAATTAATTAACTTCCAAATGTATTTGCAGTGCGGATTTGTCGTTGGTGCTCAATTCCCGTTGTATACAACTGTCTGAAGTTTATCTCAAAGAATCGGTATCCAATCCATCTCTCGTGCAACATTATTGAGAAGTCGATTCAGTTTTCCCGAGCTGGTATTAGAGTCTGGTCCCTGCTCCTCCATTCGTGGCATTTTGTAGAGGAGAGTCTAAATTAGGAGACTTCAAATGGAATGTAATAAAGAAGACGCTATAAGAGCTAGAGAGATTGCAAAGAGGAAGTTTTTAGCAAATGATTTTGCGGGGGCCAGGAAATTTGCCTTGAAGGCTCAGTTCCTGTATCCTGAACTCGATGGAATTGCCCAAATGGTGGCCACATTTGATGTTCATTTATCTGCTCAGAATATAATATATGGGGAGATAGACTTTTATGGTGTACTTGGTCTGAACCCTGAGGCTGATCACGAAACTGTGAGGAAACGTTACAGAAAGTTGGCTGTAATGCTTCATCCTGACAGGAACAAGTCTATCGGAGCAGAGGAAGCCTTTAAGTTTCTTTCGCAGGCATGGGGTGTGTTCTCTGACAAGGCAAAGAGAGCTGACTATGACCTGAAGAGGAATGTGGGATTGTATAAGGGAGGAGGGGCATCATCATCAAGGCCTGCAACCAATGGATTTCAGAAAGTTACTAAAGCTAGCGCTAACACAACCAAAGTAAAGAGTTCAAAGAGAGGTATAAAACGGGCAAGTGACGCCTCTGCTGCCGCTACTCCTTCTACTTCGGCCCAGAAAACAACTGCTGATGGGACCTTTTGGACTGTATGCCGTACTTGCAGAACACAGTATGAATATCATCGTGTTTATCTAAATCAGAACCTTCTGTGTCCCAACTGTCGTAAGCCGTTTATAGCTGTGGAAACAGATCCTCCAGGTTCAGGTTCAATTCGCAAGACCTTTCACGAGCACCAATTCGACTCTCTCCGCCACACAACGGACGGAAGAAAGAAAAATGTATCTGGAAGAGACAACAATGGGGTGTATGGTGAATGTGATTCCTTTGAGTGGGGGATGTTCACTGGAACCAAAAATTCTGCTCATGCTACACAGACTGGGTCACGGAAAGATGAGGTTGTGCGTAGAGAGTATACCAAAAGGGTGGCTGGTGTTTCATCAACAATTCCTCCAAAAAGAAGAAAGGTTACGGAAAATGCAGTTGCTGGTGCCAACATTGCAAGTTGTCTTGCTCCCAAGTCCACCGGTGTAAAAGAAATTTCTGAGGATGAGCTGAAGAATTTATTGAAGAAGAAAGCTAAATCAGTAATCAGCAGAAACCTGCCAGGATTATGCACCATCGTTGCTGAAACTGAAACTGACGCAAACGGAAGGGGAATGGAAACTGAGGATCTCAATGGTTTCATTGCAGGTTCTTCAGTAAACAAAAATGCCATTGAATCATGCTGCATGGACTCCATTGAGGATACTTCTGCTACTGACAAGGATTTGAATTCCCTGGGAGCCTTCACATTAGATGTTACTGCTCCAGATTTTTGTGACTTTGACAAGGATCGAACTGAAAAGTCATTTGGGGATGACCAGGTATGGGCTTTTTACGATTCTCTTGAAGGGATGCCTCGATCATATGCCTTGATACATAATGTTATCTCCATAGATCCATTCAAGGTGCGTATGAGTTGGCTCACTCCAGTAACAAACAGTGAGCTTAGCTCAACAAATTGGCTTGGTTTTGGTATACCTAAAAGTTGTGGAGGTTTTAGAGTTAGGAAAACCCAAATCTGCAGGTTACCTTACAGTTTTTCACACAAAGTAAACCTGGTCAAAGGCAATCATGGGGAATTTCTTATATATCCTAGAAGAGGCGATGTATGGGCTCTGTATCGGAAATGGTCCCCTGACTGGAACTATCTTACAGGAGTCGAAACAATTGAGTACGATATAGTTGAAGTAGTTGAAGGATATACAGAGGAATATGGTGTGTCAGTGGTTCCTCTGGTTAAAGTTGCTGGTTTCAAAGCCGTGTTTCACCATCATTTGGATCCCAAAGAAACTAGAAGGATCCTTAGGGATGAAATTTCAAGATTCTCTCACATGATACCGTCTTACTTGCTCACAGGTCAAGAAGCACCCGGTGCACCCAGAGGTTGCAGACAGCTTGACCCGGCAGCAACACCGTCTCATCTTCTTCAGGCTATCGATGATTATCGGTAAGGTGTAAAAGATTCAAACTTTTTGTATCTTAGTAATGTAATGTAATATGCTTAAACATGAACTGAATGTTTTATTCTAATTTATGGGTAACATAGAATCTAGAAGAACCTACAATGCGAGTTTTCATTGTGTTTTATAACTAGAAAGAGGAGCTTTAACGAATCTGAATATCTTCATTAAATGACACATTTTGGATCAAAACGACGTTAACAGAAAAGGAAAAAAAAAATTATTGAACCCCCAACGTTCCAATGTTTCGAACCGCTTGAGCAGCAATAATCTCAGCGATACATTGGGGACAAGGGAGAAATCTTGGAGACGGTAATTGATGAGCAGAAAGAGATGCATCAGAGTGAATTCATGGTCAAATATATTTGAAAAGGATTTGACTGACGGTAAGAGGAGCTGCGTAAATACCAGCCTCCATTGTCAGCAAATCAAAGCAGAGAAACAAGAGATATGAAATCGTCAAAAGAAGATGTTGAGGTACAAAGGGACAAGCGACTGTTGATGTTATTTATTATATGGGTTTTCTGTAAAAATATCTACCAAACGACACTATTTTGCAAGTTTAAGTCGCATTCGAATGCCCATTTACCCAAACCCAAACTCAAGTCACAGCCCTAGCCCGGCTCGGGGCAACACCGCTACAGCTTCTTCAGGCTATCAATGCTCATTGGTAAGATGTACAAGAGAATCAAACTTTTTTTTTTTGTTTGTCTAAACCTGAACTGGATGTTATTTTTTCTAATTTAGGTAACATAGAAAGTTAGAAACAAGAAGACTTTATAATGTGAGCAGAGTTTTCATTCTGTTTTTACTAAAATAACAAACTTAACGAATCTAAATAGTCTCATTACATGTCTAGCAGCAAAAACAATTTCAATTGCAATACATTAAAAAAACAAACCGTAGACTAATCAGATTTCAGACTCCATTATACAACTATATTGACTCTCCTCGAGAACAATTCGACGGCAGAGAGGGCAAGAATTACACCTCCTTAACCACTCGAAGATACATACTTTATGAAATTGATGCGAACAATATGGTAACTTTATTATTCTCTTATCATCTTCGTCGTCATCGTTCAAAAACTCCTCCAAACATATCGGACATGTCGATTCGTCCTCTTCTTCTTGAGTTTCTTCTTTGGGAAGACTACAAACAGGAATCACTGAGAACACTTCTTGCATAAAAACTACGTTAACGGACATGAACAACGGTTGTAGAATCCCAACGCTTAGACTCGCTCGAGCAGCGATTACCTCAGCGATAAATTCGGACAAGGATGGATCATGGAGACGGGAATTGAGAAGTGGAAAGAGATGAAACGTAGTGAATTCGTAGTTAGAAAGATTCAAAAGGATTTGAGAGAAGGGGAAAGGATGTGCTGGATAAAATCCAGTAAAAGTGACGCTTCCATCGGATTTGTCAATCACAAATCTCTCGAATTGTTGACAGAGATTGATGCAAACAATGTTGAGGCTCAAGGGTAAAGATGAGGTTTGAGTTTGACTGTACGTCTTCGTAGTGATATCGATTTTCAAATCTCCAGTCTCCATTATCAACAAACTTAAGCAGACACAATTAGAGATGAAATCGTTAGATGTTGAGATGTGAAGAAAGAAGTGTCTGTTGATGTTATTATATAAGATTTTTTTTATGGTAAGTTTATATTTTTTGTTAGGGTTTCATCTACTTATTTCCTTTTTTATAAACTCATGTCAACGTTTATCTATTGTTATTTCCTTTTTTGTTTGTTTGTCAGAACTCTGTTTTTGTTGTTGTTATTTTACCTTTTCGGCTTTTCCTATTCGAACCAGTCTAAATATATATATTTGTTGGATCAAATTTGAATAGGCAAAGAAGCAACAAGAGTCTTACTAAGAGCTTTGTGGACAAACAAGATTCTATCTTGATGATTCTTCAGTTTTGACCTCATTGGCCATTTATATTTTGAAAGGTGAATTAAATGTCCTCTTTATTTTTCTATTGACAGATATCTTTCTAGCGGGTACAACAAAGTTTTCACCTTAAGCTGCTTGATGATTCGCGTCAAGAGACACTTAAGTATTACATATGCAGATGCATCATACATAGGCACATTCGTTATCTTGTTCACTCATAAGAAGTTTCTCTTCCTGCTCCACCCTTTGGAGCCATTGCAGCCCCAGATCGCACCCTGCTCTTGCAGCGATTTGGAACTGTTCTTTTGCCATCTCTAATGGATTCATCTCCGGATTTTCCAGGTTCTTTTTTGATCTCTTGGGCGGTGAAACTCCCACGGCGTTTAATTTTGTAAGAGATTCTGGGACTTGCACGCCTGTAAAGTTGATATCTTAAGCAACTTAACCTAGAAAGCAAGAAATGACGATATTGTTGTCTTCCTATGATCTAAGAGTGCAAGGTGTGGCCACAACAAATCAACTTTGGGTAATCGTGAGGATCTGATGTAAAAGAAGTAAGATTGGTCTGTGCTGAAAGAGGATTACTAACCTCTAAGTAAAAGAGATCCATACGCTATAGCAGCACCGGCATGTCCCTGAACATATGTGAGTCAGTCTATGGAAGATAGAGGAAGATGTCTAACGATTTTCACACATGCTCTTTGACATTTACAAAACGTTTGACATCAGACAATGCTTGTTTCGTCAAATTCACAAGTAGAAGACATGATCAATACAGCCCAGAATATATATACGTATGAGGAAGTGATGAAACAGAAACAGAAGCTAACTCTTTTGAAGCACTGCTAAAGTGGTACTAATCTACATACAAAATCAGAAAGAAAAAAAAAAAAATTCGCTGAGACATAAAGTGTTTTACCTTCTCTGAAGCCCTATGGAAACACCATATAGCTGAATCCACATCTTGCTTCACACAGTCTCCCGTCAGATACACTATTCCTAAAAGATAGAGGGCACCTGGATGCAGCTGCAGGTTTTACCAATTCCAGGTGAGATTCGCTCAAATTGCTGAATATTACATTCATACAATTGTCTGGGTTGGGAAATATATTCATACCTGATCAACAGCATTCTCTATATAGTGAAACGCCTGTTGATCCGACTGGACATGATCGTTCTGAAAGAAAGATTACAATTAGTATGAAATGTTGGGGCGGTTTACGGATGAGTGGGAAACAAATATTAACTAAGTAAACTTTCGAATCTGAGAATATAATGCTGCTCAAGAAGCAGACATTTCTCAATTAAGAGTAGCCCACTAAAGCACTAATGGAACTGACAAAGATAAAGATGAAGCTCTAACGTATCTACCTATGAGGTTCTCAATTTCGAAGCAGTCGGGCAAAACTGATATTATAAACATTATTAAGGGATGGTTACGAGCAAAAATTATAAGGAAGCCTGACCTCGACTCTTAAACGACACCCTAGCTCATATTGAGCATCTGCATTACCCATGTCTGCAGCTTCAACAAGCAAAGCAGCTCCACTGTGATAATCAAAGACAATAACATGGATAAGATGACAACAACAAAATCCTTGCACACATGACAAAATTCTTCTGAAAACTACATGAAAACCTTCCAGGGTATGAAAAGCCGTGGCACATTCAGCGATATGAAACCTCAATGACTTAGCTTTTCGGAAGACACCTGAGTTTATTCGATATACAACTTCAAGTACAGTATCAACATATTATTAATATAACTACTGTATTGTATCATCAACCCATAGATTGCAGTTTGACAGAGAATCAGAGAGTAACTATCTGACAATTGATTTACTTACACAGCTTTACACGCTCCAGGAACATGGTACTTCAAGTGCAGCTTGGAAAGCCAATATCTAGCATGAGTGTTCAAATTATCAGCTTCCAGAGCAAGTTCAAAGTTCTCTTTAGCTCCCTATAACCAAAAAAAAAAAAAAAAATCCTATTTAGAAATATAACCAAAAAACTACATTCAAACAATTTGACTATCCTACAAAAACTTATCAATGGCATGTTAGAACACAAGATTGCATTTGGAACTTATGGCACACATAGAAAGAGTTAAGAATACCCTGAGGAGAGGAATTAGACGACGATCATTGAGTTCACAGTAATCGATAACTCTGTCTACTTCCTTAATCGCGCTCCATCCTTTGGCTACATACTCCATTGCCTTCTTGTTCCTGCTGTGTAATCCTCTCTGATTCAAACCATAAACACCACAAACGTTTATCAGAGAACCGATACCACACTCATTTCCAATCGAAATCCACACAAAGAAAATGTCATACTCGCTGATCGAATCCATGAAGATGGTCACGAGCAATCTTCGATTCCGCGGCAACGGCGGCTGCTTGCCGGAGAATTAGACGACGAAACATGATTTAGCCGGAGAAGAAACCTAACCGGAGAGAATTTTTGAAGTAACTCGGACGAATTTAACAAGGCTTTAGCTAAATTACTTAAGCCCATTTGAGCCCATTATCGGAAATTACAACTTTACCCTCGAGCGTCGTTGCTAATTTTTCTCTCGGATTATCGTTCAGGTTCGTCGCCGTTAAACCAAACACCAACACACGTTCCGACCAAACTGGGATTCTATTATCACTTTGGTCTCTGTTCTTCTGATGTATACGAAGATATCATTGTTACACAGAAAGAGTTCTTCACTCTCCATAGCCAACGAGAAAAGGATCCATCAATTTCTGAGGAATCTCTGCACGGCTGTTGAAAGGTTAGACTTTGGAAACTCTAATGATTCGTCAGAAATGAACCCTATAGAAGGGTTTAATGGAGGAAGCCAGAACCGAACTGGGAGCTCTGGAGAAGTTAGTGAAAGTATTCACACACAAAGTCAGAGTTGGGGTTCGAATCAGGGAAGAAATGAGCAGTCATGGAAGCAGAGTCCTAGTTTGTCTAATTCTCAGGTCCAATCTCAATATCAAGGCAATTGGTACGGGAAAAAACCTGATTATAATGGTGTAGGATCGTCTTGGCATTCAGGTAAGACTATTGATAGCGAGGTATATGAAATGATTTTGGAATTTGATGAATATTGCATACAAGAGAATGTAAGATTGGCCTTAACGACTATGGAAAAATTGGAGAAGAAGGGTTACGTTATGGATTTTGTTAGACTTTTAAGGTTAACACAGCTATGTATGGAAGAAAATGTTTTTTACGAAGTCAGTGTTTTAGAAGACGCCAAGGTTTCTGTTCTAGGGAAGATCAGAGCTTTAGTTTACAATTTAGATGCGAATTATTTGAAGTATTATACTGACATCATGATTAAGGAATTTGACGAATTTTGCAAGCAAGGTAAGGTGAAAAAGGCATTGTATACTATAGATACATTGGAAAGCATGAATCATGTTGTTGATTTGAGTAGACTTTTACGGTTAGCGAAGCTGTGTGGGGAAGCAGAGGGTTTACAAGAGGCCAAGGTTGTTCATGGGAAGATTAGTTCTTCCGTTAGCCATTTAGATGTGAGTTCTAACCATGTATTGTTAGAAATGTACTCCAACTGTGGGTTGGCGAATGAAGCAGCGAATGTTTTTGAGAAAATGCCTGAGAAGAATTTAGAGACTTGGTACATTATAATAAGATGTTTTGCAAAGAATGGTTTTGGGGAAGACGCTATTGATATGTTTGCTCGCTTTAAAAAAGAAGGAAACTAGACCCGATGCTCAACTATTTAGAGGAATTTTCTATGCTTGTGGTATGCTAGGTGATGTTGATGAGGGACTATTACACTTTGAGTCAATGTCCTAGAGACTACGGCATTGCCCTTCCATTGAAGACTATGTAAGCCTTGTTGAGATGTATGCGTTACCCGGATTTTTAGATGAGGCTTTAGAGTTTGTGGAGAGAATGCCGATGGAGCCAAATGTTGATGTGTGGGAAACATTGATGAATCTTTCTCGAGTCCATGGGAATTTAGAACTTGGAGACCGGTGTGCTGAATTTGTTGAATTGTTAGATCCTACACGGTTGAACAAACAATCTCGGGAAGGATTTCTACCTGTCAAGGAATCAGATGTTGAGAAAGAGAGTCCTAAAGAAAAGGTCAGGAATTCTTCACGGAGTCAAAAGTACGATGTATGAATTTAGGGCAGGAGATACCAATCTTCCTGAGAATGATGAACTGTTCCAGCTATTGAGGAATCTAAAGATGCATATGGTGGAAATGGGCTATGTCGCTGATACAAAACCTGCTTTGCATGATATAGACCAAGAGAGTAAAGAGACAGCACTTCTTGGTCATAGCGAGAGAATAGCTTTTGCTCGTGCTGTTCTTAACACCCCGCCCCGTAAACCTTTCACTGTGATGAAAAACCTTCGTGTGTGTGTTGATTGTCATAACGCATGGAAGATAATGGGAGTTATAGTTGGTAGAGAAGTGATCATGCGAGATATAAAGAGATTCCACCATATGAAAAACGGGGCTTGCAGCTGTAATGACTATTGGTGATTAACAACAAACCTTGAGGTGTGTTCTATAGTAGTGTCTACGTTGAAAATGTTTTGTCTCTTCTTTTCTCATAGATCATCATTTTTGTTTTATGAAACAGATTTATCTTGCCCTCCAGATCCGATTCTCAGAAATACGTTCTCATAATGTCTGTGATTGGGAACTTTGGCAGGATGGAAAAACATAAAGCAAAGAGTCACACAGAGACAAATTTGTATCATAAGCAGCAACTTTTCGACCACGTCTCTTTTTTCCAGGCATTTATATCGTGGAGCTGCCATATTGTTGTTATATATCAATTTCATTCTCTTGTCCAGATGGAAGCATAGCAATAATACAATTTGTAGATTGTTTTTTTTTGTCAAAGCACAATTTGTTGATTGTTTGGCTTTCGTTCTTGATATTTTATGTATGTGAATTATGTTGTTCTAGTTTGGTTAACAAATATTTTACGCTTAATATGAATATCTCGGATGAGAAAATAAATCTGAAGTAGTAATTTTATGTGAATCGAAATTTATTTGTAATTGTCGATGTAGTTTACATTTGAGTTATTTGAAAGATAAAAGGAATCCTATCGAAAGGGGGATCAAATGGGACCAAAAAAAAGCTTGGATTTGGTTTTTTTTTTTTTAAAATTCTATTCATTTTTAACGTTTATCTATTAAGGTTTATAAAATAACAATTACCATGAAAATTATCGTAAAATCGAATAATACTATCCCTTTGTTTCAGTATATAAATGTTTAGAGTAAAAACACGTAAACAAAAAAAATTATATATAAAAATATCATTCATATTTATTTATTTTTAAAAATCAACCAATCATGGAAAATACTGTAAAATATCAATTTTCACGATCAATACATATAAATTTGTGTAGAAATTTGTAAAACATATTATGATATAAAATAAAACAAAATCTCTAAAGAAATTTACATAATGAAGTATGAAACAGAGAAAGTAGTAACATATAGTAAATCAGGAAATTAACAATAGAAAAACATGATTATTTATGTCCTATTTAAATTTTAGGACGGGATCGAGATTGAACGGGATGGGATGAGAATTCCTAAAAAAATGTTGTATAACATATTACAATTAAATAAAACATTGCTTTGCAATCGTATATTTAAAATGTTTCTTTCAATTTTTCTAGCATAGCATGTGCCAAATAAAATATTTTGGGACGGGTAAAGTTTATTTCGTGATGGAAATTTTGGGAATCTGGATATTTTCTAAAACATAATAGTGAAATATTGAGAAAATAAAGAAAATATGGATAACTTCCACTAATTATATAAAAATTAAATACCTAAACGAAGATACATAAAATACGGGTATTCCATCTGAATCTTAGACCTACACGATATAAAATCATAAAGGAGTAAATTAATGCTTACGTGATTAAATGTGTGTGGTAGATATGTGACCATACGGATTTTCTCTCTCAAAATTGATATGTCTTTTCTCTCTCTCTTTTTAATTATGTAATTGTCTTTACTGTAACCAAAAACAAATCCGATTAATTATTTTGTCTAAACCAAATTGAAACTAAAACCGAATACCAAACTGATATGAGGTAGAATAATGAATGTTATACCAAATAAATACATCTATAAACATAACCCCGCACAAACGTGCAGGTCCGAATCTAGTCACACTATAATTTAAAAGAATTTATGAAATATATGTATATAGTTGAAAAATAATAAAAATCAAAATTCTTTCAAATTCAGTTAAATTCTTTCAATATTTATTACTTGAGACTTTTTGATCACGCACTCTTAAGCCTGGTGTCAAATATTTAATGAAATCTAAAATACATAGATTTGCTAGCCTCTTATTACGCCAAGTTTCATATTGCAGCAGCCCTAATTCCCAAATTCTTCCGATAATTTGTTCACAAATCCCTAGAAAAATCCAGAGGGAATTTTCAAATCTTACGGTGATCAACCTGCTTCAGGCCTGTACAAGGTAAATTCTTATCCAATTCTTCTTCTTTTACACCCCTTGATCGCCACGAAACTACTTGAATCGATGATATTGTTAGTTGGTTTATTGATTTAACGTTTTTTTAATTCGTAATCGTTTGGAAGTTTTTTTTTTTGTTTTTTTTTTTTGCTATATCGGAGAGATTCGTCAGAACTAATTTTGGACTAATCTTGCTCAAGTTTTGACTACAATTTTGTTTTTGCTGATTTTATTGTAATATTTGTTGTTGTTTATTTTTGGATTTGTGTTTTTTTCTGTGAAATCCGTGTTAATTTTGAGTTTATTATGTATATTGAGATTGTTTCTTCGTCTTAGATTCTAATGAATGTGTGATCTCTTTGCAGGATTAAAGTTAATTGAGTAAATTATCATGAGATTCAGAAGAGGAAGTAGAGTTGAGGTGTTTTACCATCAAAGAGGCGCCTTATGGTGCGTGGCGATCAGCGGAGATTATATCGGTAATGGTCACACTTACAGTGTTAGATATTACTCTTTTGAACTTTCTAACAATGAGGCTGTTGAGGAAAGAGTTCCAAGGAAGATAATTAGGCCGTGTCCTCCGCAAATAGATGTTGATAGGTGGGAAGCTGGTGAATTGGTGGAGGTTCTTGATAATATTTCTTGGAAAACTGCTACGGTCTTGGAGGAGTTATCTGGAAGATATTATGTCGTTCGGTTACTTGGTGCCAAAGTAGAACTTACAGTTCACAAGTTAACCTCAGGCTCGACAATCTTGGCAAGATGAAAGATGGGTTATGATTGGAAGGTAAGTTTTACTTATGTTATTATATATCCTCTGATGGTCTTGCAGTTACTAAGCTCTCTGTTTTTCTCCATTCAGATAGGAATCTATCTTTAAGTGTGTCTTTAATATCTTTATGGTACTGTGTTTTGATATAATGTTGAAACAATATGCTAATGGAGTTACATGTTGACTGACTCTCCTATAAATTTTTTTTTCAGGTATCTTGTTCTGTGAAGTCCTCGACGCTTACTGGATCAGATGAACAGCAGAATCTGAAGCCCTTTCTGAACAGTGTGGTGCCCCAGGAGACTAGTGTTGCTTCTTTAAGAGTGTTGAAGAGACCTTCACCCTGTGATTCGGCGGAGTCTGCTGAATCATGCACAAGAAGTCCTAAGAAGATACGATCATTGGAGGAAGACGGACACCAGCACCGGTTTGCTTCGTCTGAACTTAGGGGTGTTAAAATGCACGTGCAAGCTTCCTTTAACAAGAATAAAAGTGGTTTCCGTCAACTGGTCAGGGTAAGATCAAAAAGGTTTAGTGAATGTGTTGGTACAGGAAGCTCAGTCTCTAATGGTTGTTATGATACTGATGCATGCTCGGTTGGTAGTTGTAGCCCTATTAGTTATGATGAGAGTGACATACCAACTTCTTTTCTAGATGGTGCTAGTCAAGGTGCCGACTCTTATAGTAATGATGCTGAATCTTCAAAAGAAGCATTTGGATGCAGAGAGGAAGCTACGCGAAAACATTCATTATCAGGTAATGGAGCAGCGGTGAGATCATGTAGGCCTGAATTATACACTTACCGAAGTACACTGAGGAAGCTATTTGCTTCTGGCCCCCTAAGTTGGGATCAGGAAGTATCGCTAACCGATCTCCGACTTTCTCTTAAAATATCAAATGATGAACATTTGATGGAGCTAAGAAATCTCAAGTCTGCCGGTACCCACAATTAATTTTGTTAGTATCTATCTTATCTTTTTGATCCTTGACAATCTTATCTTCAGGTGTTGGCCATTCTTCCCTGCAATGTGGAATCAACTGTTGTATATTGTTCTTTTACCGGAGGATTCTTATAATGATTGTATAGACAGCAGAAAGGAAATTATGTATGGAAATTCTGACTGAAAATTTTCAATCCTCATTGTGATGTTTTCGTCTTATTGTCAGCCTAATTTTCTTTGTTGTACTATCTGGATAATTAAATTCAAGTTACAGAATCTCTGTTCTAAAATGAGTCATGTCTTTTCTTTATATATACTTTAGTTTCTTGTGTTTAAGCTTCTTCTGGATAAGTTGAGTCATTTGTATTTTTCTCATCAGTGATGGATTATTTAACTTACCCTACATTTTTCAGGAACAGTGTAGCCATGTCGGATGACTGCAGATCTTTCTTGCTTCTAGAGATCTTACTCTGATGCATGAGGTCAACTGAATGGTGCAAAACACAATGCCCCTTCTTCCTTAAATTCATAAGTGAAACTTTGCTGTTTTTTTCTTTTTGGCTATGAATAACTGATCTGTTTCAGGTGTTCTTGGATAAACTCCGTGGACAGGCTTGGAACTGTTCCTAGCCGAAAGAGAAATATTTACAGTCTGGTTGCTTATGTTTGCCGACGATTGGTAAAATGGTAAGTATTAAGTGCACACAAGGTTGAAAGTTCTTCAATTATAACATGTGTCTTATAACTGAGAGCATAATATCGAGGTTGTGAAAAATACTGACAGTAGTCTTGGCTCTTCCAGCAAATGTGTTACCAGTAGATTGCGGGTCAGATTCTCATGATTTCTCTTCTAACCACTTTTGATTGTGAAAACTGTCCATTGCGTTTATTTTAGTATATAAGAAAATACCCAATTTCCTACGGCCAATATTGTATGTATAGTTGGGCCTGGTCATCAAAATCTACAGAAAAACACCAACTCATTGTTATGGAACTCTGGTAACGACTTACGACATTTCAAGCTGATTTACCGAGGTGCGGGATTCATATGTTAGTATATATATTATGCTAATGTGTATAGACCTCTGAATAAATCAAACTTATCTAGCTGCTCGCTTGTCAAATCCAACTTTTTCCCTATGTCTTAAGCTTAAAGAAATTGAAACGACTGAGAGGAAGAAGAAGCCTTGTGTAATTGTATCATTATATCTGTTATGTATGTTCCGATGTTCTTATGCCATCACTATGGGTTTTATATTTGGATACAAAATTTGCATTAACAATGTTGTTTTTCTTAGAGTAGATTCATTTCAGGTCTGTTCAGGAAATGATTATCTAAATACCAATTTGGAGATTTGCGCCTAAAGCAACCCCATTCGCAAGAGAAAGAAAACATAACTTAAGGGATCGTACGCTGGTAGAGAGGCAGAGCTCCCAAGGCCTCTCGTTCCAATCTTTCCTTCTCAACCTGCAATGCTCAAAATAGAAAGATGATGATGATGATATATCATTTCAGTTAAACTCCAAAAGTCGAAGCATTGTTAGATTTAAAATATATATTATTCAAAAGGTACTTACTAAAGCAAGCATCTCCTGAAGATAGCTCTGGAATGGCTGCAAACAAAATCGAGATCTCAAATAAATCCAATAGAATGCTTAAATTTGCTTTTGCCATTATGAGGACATCAATAGAAATCGAGTACACGAAATCAGCATTCTAAACAAGGAAACAAGTATCTCAATTTTATCAATCCCAATCTCCTAATGAGCTAAAGAAGAACAGAGTTAGCATAATTTTATTACATAAATTACTCTGATTCGCACAGGTACGATCAATATTCTGAGGAACAAAAGACCAAATAACCAAGAAAACAGTTTCCAATCCAAATTGTGAGTGATTCTCTGATTCTTATCATTTCCATATTCCCAGAAATAAAAGAGAAACCGGTATCGCGAAAACAATTTCAAAACCTGCGCCAAAGTTGAAACAATTTCAATTTCAATAAATAATCGAAGATTTATATAAGTTGAATTCATTTATCTTACTTAATTTGTTTTTATTTAATTTAATTTTATATTAATTATATAAAACATAAATATAAACAAACAGGGCCAGCCCAACAGATTTGGCTGCCCAAAGCATTATTAAGCCCATACATTTAAAAAAACTCACAAAACAACAGATTTGGGATTCGAACCATGCACCAAAAAGACAAGCACCAAAGGGCTAACCACTGCACTACGTAATGTTTTCTGAAAATGATGCGCCTAAAGCAAGGACTTTACCTGCTTTAGCTTAGGGCCGGCCCTGTGAACAGATTTGAATTAAATGAACATTATAAATAAACTTTAATGTTAAACAAAAGTGTCTTGCTCATGTGGACATCTTAGATGGAGAGAAAACTCTCAAATTATATATATAGATAGATTAAACTTTGGTATTTTATTATTGCTTTGTTTATTTCGATTTATAAATGTTAATCGAGAATTTGATACGACTAGATTGGTTTTCTTTGTGATATGAGTTTGAATGTTTGATATTGCAAAAAGGTTCAAGAAAATGGAGAACATAATCACGGTTGGTGATTTATACATCAACACATCTCAATGAAAATTTCGGGTATTCCTTAGTTGAATATTTCTTGGAGATTCTTTTTTTTTTTGCTTACATTAGTTTTGCAGCTACGAAATTTTATATTATCGCTAGAAAAGTTTTGATTTCAAAATTTTAACTACCAAAATTAAATTCAACATAAAACATGAGTCTCAAATGTAGTACCCTTGAACTGGATTCCGAGGAAGAGGTTGAACTGGATTCTGAGACAGAGGTTAGTCACACTCATATCAATTGAATTTACTAGAAAGGTAAAGATTAAAGATGAATCTAGTTACTAAAAGAGAGGTATTGTTTTTTGTGGCAGTTGGCGTTGCTGACAAATAAGAAACTGGAAGAAGCATTGTTCGAACTTGACGATGCCATTATGCTTTTCATGACTTCTAAACTCTCAACAACCCCATTCCCTCTCTTTTTCCTTGTTTTGTTTGGTCGATTTCGTTTTTGTTTTCTATTTTCACATTGTTCTACCGTTAACTTGGGCATGGGACCCCCATTTAATAAATGGGTATGTATAAGAAAAATAAACTCATTTAAACTCCTTTGAGGGGATAATATCAAATGGGGTTAAATGGGTTACCCCAATTAAACCCATTTATTAAATGGGGTATTACACAAATAAATGGGTACCCATTTAAGCCTATTTATATTAGTTATTTTTATTAAAAAATGTTAATCCTTTAATAATTAAAATTAAAGAGCAATATATTAAATACATTAAAACTAAATTATTCTACTTAAATTCAATTTTTGATTTAAATATTTTTTTTAAATATGTAAAACCACGTTTTTCCGCCTAAATCTTAAAACCGTGTTTTCCCGGCAAAATCGAAAAATTAGGTTTTATCATCACAAAATAGCGTTTTTCCGCCAAAACCGTAAACCCGTGTTTTCCCGCCAAAACGCAAAATCGTGTTTTCCCGCCAAAATTGCAAAACCATATTTTCCCGCCAAAATTGCAAAACCATATTTTCCAGCTAAAATTGCAAAAACCGTATTTTCTCGCCAAAATCATAAAACCGTGTTTTCCCGCCAAAACCGTAAATCCGTGTTTTCCCGCCAAAATCATAAAATCGTGTTTTCCGCCAAAATCGTAAACCCGTGTTTTCCCGCCAAAACCGTAATCCCACGTTTTCCCGCCAAAATCGTAAAACCGTGTTTTCCCGCCAAAACCGTAAACCCGTGTTTTCCCGCCAAAGTCGTAAAATCGTATTTTTCCGCCAAAATTGTAAACCCGTGTTTTCCCGCCAAAACCGTAAACCCACGTTTTCCCACCAAAACCGTAAACCCGTGTTTTCCCGCCAAAGTCGTAAAATCGTGTTTTTCCGCCAAAATCGTAAACCCGTGTTTTCCCGCCAAAACCGTAAAACCCACGTTTTTCCCGCCAAAATCGGAAAACCGTGTTTTCCGCAAAAATCTCAAAAATGGTGTTTTATCACCAAAGCATCTCATAGCATAAAATAATGGTTTCTGCCAAAATCATAAACCCGTTATTTCCCGCCAAAAACGCAAAATTGCGTTTAATCACCAAAAACTATTTTCCACAACATCGTTTTTTTGCCAAATCGTGAAATTTTGTTTTGTCACCAAATTTTTGTCCTCACATATCTGTGTTTTTTCCGCCAAAACCGCAAAATTGCATTTTCTCAAAACTATATTATTTTTCAACAATATAATAAGTACAGTTTAGGTGTGTCAAAATGGTTAACCCAACTCAACTCAACTCATTACCTAATGAGTTTAGAGTTAAATGAGTTCATGGGTTGACTCAACTCATTTAAGCAAATGAGTTAAGTCAACCCATTAACTCATTTAATTTGATGGGTTAGAAGGTTAAATGGTTTGACCCATAAACCTATTAATGTAATAAATAAATTAATAATTAAAATATAATAATAATAATCAATAACACTATTATTTGGCGGAAAAATCACGGATTTACGTTTTTGGTGGGAAAATCACGGATTTACGTTTTTGACGGGAAAATTACGGATTTACGTTTTTGGCGGAAAAATTTTACATTTTCATTTTTGGTTAAAAATTATAAAAAAAATTGGCGGGAAAATCACGAATTTACGTTTTTGGCGGGAAAATTACGGATTTACGTTTTTGGCGGGAAAATTACGGATTTACATTTTTGGCGGGAAAATTTTATATTCTCATTTTTGATTAAAAATTATAAAAAATTTTGGCGGGAAAATCACGGATTTTACATTTTTGGCGGGAAAATCACGGATTTACGTTTTTGGCGGGAAAATTTTACATTCTCATTTTTGGTTAAAAAATTAAGAAAAATTTGGCGGGAAAATCATAGATTTACGTTTTTGGCGGGAAAATCACGGATTTTCGTTTTTAGCGGGAAAATTATATATTTACGTTTTTGGCGGGAAAATTTTACATTCTCATTTTTGGTTAAAAATTATAAAAAAATTTGGCGGGAAAATCACGGATTAACGTTTTTGGCCGGAAAATCACGAATTTTATTTTGATGGAAAAATTATGTATTCACATTTTTGGCGGAAAAATTAAGGACTATATTCAATCGGTTTAGAAGTTTTGGTTAGACTCAAATTGAAATCGGTTTAGAGATTTGAATTGCTTTGATTCAATTTAACATAAATTGATGGGTTAAATGGGTAAACCATTAAAACCATTGACCCATTACAACCCAACTCATTTGATCCATCAACCCATTTGACTCAATAACTCATTTGATCCATCAACTCATTTGAGTCAAAATTTTCAACTCATTAGGGTTCATGGGTTGAGTTGAGTTGGGTTGACTCATGAATTTTGACCCATTTTGACACCCCTAGTACAGTTATATCATTATTTATCAATTGATTTTAATAAAATAATTTATAAATTTTAAATAATTATTGATTATTGGTTTAAACAAAACAATGTTATATGGGTCTAATGGGTTTAAATGGGTCAATGAAACTTAAATGGGTTGAGATAAATAGGTTGTAAACTTAAATGGGTTATATGGGTTTACAGTAAATGGAGTGAGTTTTAAATGGGATGGATCTAAATGGGGTGGGTTACCCATATTAACATCTCTAGTTCTTCTACCTTATCCTATGTATTAGTATTAGAAGGCAGTTGTCTATTTGATATATATATATATATATATACTAGGGATTGACCCGCGGTACACCGCGGGACTATATTTTTTTTAAGAAAATAATATATGTTTGTTTGAGAGAAATTAATATAGGTTTTAAACATAATAAGTCTTTATATAACCCATTTAGATGTGTGATTTGAATATATATGGAAATCAATGTAGTGCTAATTGTATGA